TCGATAAATAATAATAATAATAATAATAATAATAATAATAATAATAATAATAATAATAATAATAATAATGATAATAAACACGTGATAAATTAAAGTAGGAATCATGATAACGTAGAAAGAAATAAATAAATAAATAAGAAAGAAATTTAATTAAAAAAAAGACGAAGAACAACAAAATAAAATTGTTTAAAATTCGGCAAAACAAAGTAAAAAAACAAAAAATTTTCCTGTTATCAAATAACGTACGAAATGATAAGAAAATAATAATAATAATAATAAAAAGGAAAATTTAATAAAATTAAAACGGAAAAAGGTGTTTTTAAAACGTTTTTTTTGATAAAAACGAAGAAAATGATGAGGAGAATATAAATAAAAATGATTCGGGAAAAAGATTTTTTTTTTTTTTGTTTCCTCTTTACTTGCTTTCTTATATATCTATATATATATATATATATATACATATAGAGAGAGAGAGAGAGAGAGAGAATAGTTGCCGTATTTACTTTACCCTTGGCTGAATTCAATTTTCGATCGAATAAAAGATGAAGAAGCTAATAAAAACGATTTTATAGACTTGACTAAATTCAGATGAGAAAAATACAACGAATTGAGTTGAAGTTTTTCATTAAACTTACTTATAAACACCGCCTCTGACGCCGCGGATTTAACGATTTTAAATAAATTTCTTTCTTTTTTATTATCATTATCATTATCGGAGAATTTTTATTATTAATTTTTTTTTTTTACATATCGATAACCGATCGATAAATATTTAATCGTCAAAAAGGAAAAAAAATGAAAAAAAAATTATAATTTAAAAAAAAATTTGACCCTCCATTTTTCCTTTTGAATTTTTTTTTTTAATTAACGCCGACTATTATTATTATTATTATTATTATTATTATTATTATTATTTTTTTTTTTTTTTTTTTTTTTTTTTTTTTTATTGAAGCCAAAAGTAAATAAAAATTTCAATAATACACGCGCGTATTTTATTTTAAACTTAAATAAAAACCTTTCAAAACCAACCAAAGATCTTAAAAGTTTATTTCTTATCAAACTATTTATTATTATTATTATCATTATTATTATTATTATTAATTATTATTAGTTATTATTATTATTAAAATTAAAATGAAAATTCATGAAAATAATTTTTTAAAAATAAAAAATGGCGGGAGTATTAATTTTTATTTAATTAATATTATTTTTTATTATTTTTTTTTCCTACGCGGAATTAAATAATTTATGTAATTATTACCATTATTATCATTATCATTATCATTATTATTATTATTATTAATAATAACTACTCTTATGTGACTCGAAAAAAAAACCCCCGACTTGTGCACTAAATATATAAGTAATAATAATAATAAAAAAATTTGAAATAAAAGGTGCAGAATACAAAAGATCACTTAAAGTTTCTCTCTTTCTCTCTCTCTCTCTTCCTCTTTCTAAATGGGGAAAAGGGGGAGAAGGGGAAAAGGGAGAGGGGGGGGGGGGTACTCCTAAAAATTTTTTTCTTATAAAAACCAACGGAAATGAACTCATTTTAAAACACTTTCATTCAATTTTCAAAAGCTATACTTTTTTTTCTTCTTCTTCTTCTTCCTCCTTCTTCCTTCTTTTTCTTTTTCTTCTTCTTCTTCTCCTCCATCTTTTCCTCAATTTTTTTTATTCTTTTTAAATTAGTCTAAATTTTTGTATCTAAAAAATTATTTTATAACAATGGAAAAAAAACAATAATAATAATAATAATAATAATAATAAGTAAATAAAGAATATTGATCACTCAAACCAAAAAAAAAATGAAAACTCGGTAAATAAATTAATAAATAATAATAATAATAATAATAATAATGAAAAAGAATTTGATTCTGTGTGACGTAGGAAGCCAATTACGAAACCCAGCAGGAATCGAGAGGCTGTAGTTGAACGAAGAAAAAGGAACGCGAAGTAATGAGCTTTGATTCTCAGCAGGTTTATCAACTTTTTAACAATTGTTGATACAAAAAAGAAAACCTTACTCTCTCTCTCTCTCTCTCTCTCTTATTTATTAACAATATATATCACTCTCACTATTAATGTACCTTAATCAATTGTTTTTAATGTTTTCATTCGTTCGATCGTGTTCGTGTGTTTCTGTTTCGCAACAACAACAACAACAACATTTCGTATGCCATTTATTAACATTTTCATTTCATAAACCTAAAAGTTTTCCATTCATTCATTCATTCACTTTTTTCTTCCCTACAACATTTTACAAAATAGTTTTCTTTTATTTAAAATTTATTCGTTGCAAAAATGAAAATTTTTTGAAAATACAAATGGATAATTTTGAAAAATTTCGTATCAAAAACATAAACGAATTTCTTTTATTTAATTTTAACCAGTCAGTCATTCATTCATTCATTCATTCGATGAAAAATTTATTATTATTATTATTATTTCTTTTGTTTTTGATAAATACATATTATTACATGAATTCGAATCAAAATAAATTAAGAAATTTTTACTACGTGTCCTACACAATTTTACTTTTACTATTATTATTATTATTATTATTATTTTAAATATAACATTTTTGAATAAAAATATATGCGTGTGTGTACGTGTGCGTGTGCGTGCGTGCGTGTACGTTTGTTTTATTCGAATTTAACCGATAATATTTAATTTAAAAAAAAAGGAAAAAATTATTTTTTTTTTTTAATTGTCGCGTGTTTTTCATTTAGAAACAAACAAGTTCAATCATTTACATCATATTGCAGACGACAGATTTTATTCCTTTTTATCTTTTCCCTACTTTTCTTCCTTGTAAAAAAAAATCTTTACTATAATTTTTTTTTTTTTAATACATTTCTTCTTATCCTTGCTACCATTTTTTTTTTTTTTTTTTTAAATTAGTTTCCTTTATTGTTCGTAATTGAATTTTTTTTTTTTTCTTTCTTTTCTTTTGTTTTCAAAACAATAATGGCTCCAGGTCGATTGTCAATTTCTTTTTTTCTTTCACTTTATAATACATTTAAAATAAAATTAAAAAAAAAAAAAAAAAAAATTGATTTTTAATTTACCCTTTATTAGTAAAATTATAAATATTTTTTCTTTTCGTGTAAATGTACGTTTTCATAACTGTCCCGTTTATTAAACTTTAGTTTATTATAATTTTTTATGTTTAGGAATTTTAATTTTAACAAAAACTCGACATTTTACCCCTCCCCCCCCCCAAAAAAAAAAAAAAAAACACGTGGGAAAGTCTCGCGTTTTATGTAATCTTACAAACATACAGAAAATTAATTATAAAAAAAAATTTATTTAATAATCGTTAATTTAAATTTGATTTTAATAATATCATGGCAATTTTTTTTTTTTTCTCTCCACTGTCATAAAACTTATTTAAATATAATTAATTAAACTAAATTCTTCTTTTTTGCGTGCTTATATATAAAACGTTGTTGCCTCTTATGAAAGCATCACCGTATTTATTTTTTAATTGACCGTTTACGTATTCTTCCGTTTGTTCCAATGCTATGTTCATGTAACCATCAAGGCAAGCCAAAACACCTAAAACAAATTTTTAATAATGAGTGCAACGTTTTTTTTAAATAAATTTATTTTTAAAATTTCTATTTATTTATATAAAGCACCTCTGTAATCTACTCCACTGTTGAGTTTTACAACTACAGGCCTTCCATGAATTTGTTGAATGAATTGTGACAATGCTTCTTTTCTGCTCATTTTTACTCTGTATCAATTGAAAATTTCTCGCTGAATAAAAATTTGATGGTTATCCTCAATAATTCACTACTACTACTATTTGAAAATGATTTTTCTAACAAATGATTTTTTGTTTAAACAAATTAATTAATTAAATTTTTTTGTTAAATGGTGTGTAAATAGCTTTGGCTTAATCGTCTAATAGTATAAGATCACAAAATAATCACACTTGGGTGCATGTAAATTTATTTATTTAATTTATTACAGCACTTTGTTGAGATAAATTTTGATCTGCAAGTCTTTTAAGTTTTCTTTCTTGAGCTAATTGTCTATTTCTAGCAATTCTTTCAAGTTGTTCAGGAGTTAAAGTTATTTCGTTCTGATGTACTGATGGTTGCGATTTGAGAGGACTGAATGTATTATTTTCTTCTAGTATTTCAACTTGTTGTGATTTTTGGGGAGCAAATGTATTATTTTCTTCTTGTTCTTGTACTTGTTGTGATTTTTGGGGAGCAAATGTATTATTTTCTTCTTGTTCTTGTACTTGTTGTGATTTTTGGGGAGCAAATGTATTATTTTCTTCTTGTCCTTGAACATTTATAAAATTATTTGAATCCTCGGTAGGTAACGTGTTACTGCAGGAAGGCATGGACCAATCATTTTCTTCGAATGTCGGTGAATTATTATAATCATCAAAATTAATTTTATCATAATCAGTTTTTAAACTATCAAAATTATTATCCATATTAATGATGTCATTTTCATTCGATTTACTTTCACCCCAATCATCTATTCCCATTCTTATTTTTTTCATGTAAATCTGAATGATTCTTTTGTTTCCTATTAATTCCAATTTTTCCATGTTTCCTTCGAAATCACCGCTGGGAAATAAACAATTACACATCCAATGTTGCAAAATTTGCATTACTTTAGTCAAATCTTCTTTTTCATGATTGTTTCCTTTGAATTTAAAATTTTTAAACATTTTTTTCAATAAATCAAGTCCATTAGGTCCTGATAATCTATTATAATCAAGTTTAACTCTTTTGCTAGGTTTTTTATTAATTACTTTTTTTCTTTCTTTTTTTAAATCATCTTTTTTAGAGGTTCGATCTAAAATTCAAAACAAAAATTATCAAGCAATCAATTTTATAATTTGAAATCTTAAATATATATATGTTATAAATTCAAAAACTATAAACGCAAATTTTCTTAGTTTAAATTTAACAATTTTTTTTTAAAATTATTTAATAATAAATTACCTGATGAATTTTTTTCTTCAACATTATCTTCATCATTTTTTTTTTCATCAGCATTTGATTCATCAGAAAAATAATCCTCTGGTCCTAATAAATCATTATTCAAACCTTCTGAATCACTACTATCCATAACTCCGAATAAAATACTTTTTTTTAGAAAATTGGCCCAAATTGTTTGCTTAAGAATTACTTCATTAATTTAATATTTATTATTATTATTATTATTATTTTATAAAAATTTTTTCCTACTTATACGTACAGGTGTTGAAATTTGCCAGTAAATAAACAGAATATACGTTTTAAGCAATCTCAAAATTAATTAAATGAAATGTAAAACAAATGACACTGATTCTTAAATTAATTAATTTTGTTAAATCGTATTATAATAATTATAAATAAATGATATTAATTCAATAAAATATTTTTACATTAAACGATATACAAACCAAGCCTAAATAAAACGCGGGACAAATACTAACCTTAACCTTTTACGATGAAAGGTACGAAACAAAAAAATTTTTAACTAATAATTTCTCTTATTCCTGATACTTTTTAAATATTTTTTTTAAATTTTTAAGGTTTTTCAAATATAATTTTACTTATAAAAAAATTAATTAGGGAAAAAAAATGATAAAAGTAAAAAAAAAAAAAATCGAATTATAGGAAAATATACTTTATACAGTCGAATAATATTTTATTACTCTATGATATTTTTGTTATCTCATGAAGTATCTCATGAGTCATTAAAAGTGATTTATTGTGCTTTGACAAGTTTGTTTGACAATAGTTTTTTTTTTTTTTTTTTTTTTTTTTGTTAAATTTTAACTCCAAAATGCCTGGTACGCCACCGATGGAAGCAGAAGATGAAAGTAAAAATAGTTTAAATAATTCAAATATTAATTCGGTTAACGTTCGAGAAACAACTCAAACAGATCACTTGAATAAAAAACTTCTTGCTTCTTATTTGGAAAACATTAACAATAAAAAAACATTAAACATAGTTAATGATGAAACTGACAACAATATAAATAAAGAAAAAAAACAAAATTGGGAAACCTAATTATTATTTTACATCAAATATTTGATTATTGAGTAGGTTTTTTTTATTTTTCAAATTTTTTTTTGGAAAAAGAAATTTGATTTATATTTTATTATATCTGATATTTTTCAATCATTTTAAATACTTGTTATGAAAATATTTTTATTAATTATTAATATTAAAATGGTAGTTACATAACATTATCTAAAAATTGTTTTTATTTTGCCTCGTGTTTGCATAGAGAGAGAGAGAGAGAGCAATGAAAAACAAATATGACTAATTATTTATAACATTCTAAAACATTAAAAAAAATGTATTGTAATAAAAATGATATTAAAATTTAAACTGTAACCAATTATTGTTATACATTTATATATATTTTTATAAGAATTTTTTAAGGAATGGTTTTTACCAGGAATATTTTTTTGAATTATTAAATAATTATGTATAAGTTTGAGAATTGTAACAAAGTTATTTTATTCTAAATATATTAATTTACAAGATTGCATTTATAAAAATTTATAACAAAGTTTTTTTTTTTTACATATAATTACATTAAGGTATTAACATTTTTTTTTTTTTATTAATTTGCAAATATTTAAATTGTTTCTGGTGTTCCAAATTCTTTTCCGTTTCTTTTTCCCCATGAGTTTATTGGTTTTCTTCTTTTTCTTTTTCTTACAGTTTCAAATAAAACAACACAATCATCACTATCTGAAGAATCAATGCTGATTATATTTTCTTTGTAATTAGATAAGTTGTTAAATTTTTTTGTATTGTTTTCTTTATTTAAAAAATTGTATGGCCTTTTCTTTTTACATACAGGAGTGGAAAACAATTCATTATTTAATTTTTTATATTTTTTCTTTTTCTCATTCTACAAATATATGACAAAAAAAAAAAATGGAAAAATTTTACAAAACAATTATTAATTTTCTTTAAATTTAATTATTATTAACAACTTACTGGAGTGTCATTATTTATAATAATTGTCTCAATCACTGGATCACTTTTTCCAATCAATTCATTTCTGATTTCATTATCTGATTTTAACGGAAACTGTAAAACGTAAAAATTGTTTTAAGTTAAAAAAAATTTTAATTAATATTCGAGTAATTGTAAAAAGATAATTTTAATTACCTTATCTTTAAGAGTTGTTTTAAAATATTCAGGATTTAGGTTTTTATGTTTTGCTTCTTGTAATATCTCTTTAACTTCATCCGATAACACTTAAAAAAAATCACACACACACAAAGTGGTTAACGTAAAAAAAATTAAAATTTGTACTTTTTTCAACAGATTACTTACTTGATACTTTGTTGCCAGTGTTATAAGCTGTCCAAGCATTTGTTTTTTCAATTTCTGGTAATTCTTCTTCTTCCTTATGTTCAAGCAATGAATCATGTTCATATAATCCACTCACAACGACAGAAGAATCATTCAAAACATTTTTTAAAATTAAATCCTAATTAATAAAAATAAAATCAATTAAAAATTTTTTATTTGTGAATATCGTGAATTGTGTGAATGAGAAAAAAATAATTTTACTTTTACGTCTGTTAAATTATTTTCATGTTTTTTATTAGGCTCAAATTTATATAATGTAGCAAGTTCGGTTTCTTTAAAATGTCTCGCCGTGTGTAATTCATCAACCACCCTGTAAGATATCGACTGCTTCATTATTTGACGTTCGTAAATTTTTTCTTCCATGGTACCCTATCATCACACGGTGAAATGTTTAAATATTGAAGAAAAAAAAAAAAAAAAAAAAACTTTATAAAAATTTATCATACTCACAGATGCGACAAATCTATACACGTGACAAGGTTTATTTTGACCGATTCTGTATATTCTAAAAATACTTTGAGTATCATGTGATGGATTCCAGGATACATCAAATAAAATGGCACGATTTGCTCCTGTTAAATTAATTCCAATTCCACCTGCTTTCGTTGATATTAAAAACAATCTTAATCTGACAAAAAAAGGGGGGGGGGGGAATTTAAACGATAGCTTCTTAACGTAAATTTAATTTTTATTAAATTTTTTTTTTTTTAAAAACCTTTTATTATTATTATTATTAAATCTTTTGCAAAACGTATCCCGATCTTTTCCCGATGTTTGCCCAGTCAAAACCAAATAATCTTCTCCTAATTCCCAAGATGATGTCAAATCGCAAAGTGATGATTTTTCAAAATTTGAATTATTGATTTCTTTTAAAAAATATTCAATAATCGATAGAGAATATAAAGATCCGCTAAATACGAGCCTGAAATGAAATTTTTTAAAATGAATTTTCCGT